CTGAGGTAATGGCAAGGGGACCGGTGATGTCACACAGGTGGACGGTCACAGTTTGGTCTGGGACGCGGATCATGATGCTGTCCTTGGTGCCGACACGGTCATAAGCTGGTCCCACTCCTACATGAGGACAATAACAAGGTGAGGTGACTACTGGGGACTGCCATTATTTAAAACAAGTGGAGTCACAAATGCTAAATCTGCAGCTGCCAAGGCCAGTTTACCTAGTTTATACAGCCAGTCTCCTTTGCTGACGATGCAACTGATGCCTCCAGGATACACGTTCTTCATAAACTCCCAGAGCAGAGGACTGAAGGGAGGCTTGGCTGCCACCAGCTGCTCCACGCTAGAGATACAGATACAGATGGGCTTCTCTGCTGGTCTGTCCTGGAGCAGGTCACAGACAACAGGTTGTTGGTTAACATGAAGCACACAATGGAGAACTAATGATCTGCCCCATGTTACACTTCAACAAGCATCATATGTTGTTTATCTTTACTTTAATGCTGTAGATTTTCTCAATGGCCTGTGGATTCTTGCAGGAGGCAGCCAGGGCATAGACAGTGTCTGTGGGAATACCACAAACTCCGCCCTCCTCCAGAAGGCCAGCGATCTTCAGGAGACCACTGGTAATTCGTGAATTAGCAACAGAACAGGGTAACTCAGGAGCATTTTCCTTCACTTTCTCCTGAGACAGGTCACAGAAGGAGATATACATTCAGAACATGAACAGGTTGAATGTCACTTCAGAATCAGACTAGGGTAACAATCTTCTGTTAAATTACCTTTAAAATGGGGGGGCCCATAGGCAGCAGTCTCCCGAAGAAGATGCAGTTGACCAGTGATGCCAGAGCTCCATATATACAAATGATTGAGAACACTGCAAGCATGGCGACTGTTTGAACAAAGTTTGAACATTGTTATAACTATGTGGCTTTGCCGCACATAGGGTTTATTTATGTTCAGAATAAAGCAATGCTTACTTTCTAGTTGGTAAGGCAGTCTCTGCAGTGTAGACAGCAGGAAACAGACCAGAACAACCTCCATGACTGTTGTTAAAAACAGCAAAACCAGGTTCCTGTAGGCAGCTGATTTAAACAATGGAAGGAATTACAAATGGCTATATAGCAATAATAATAATCATATTTTTCTTCGTTAAAAGTGATTAATTTTACCTATTAGCATGAGGAAAGTGTTAATGACCAGGAAGGCAATAGCTCCTGCTGCAAAAGCATAGGAAGCTTCTTTTGGAAGTTGGAGGAGGCCGCCTGAAAAAAAAAAGAAAAATTAGATTTTTGTTTAAATTCATTCAGACAAAATCCCAATCTAATCATGTTTTTACCAACATACCTGCAAACCTAAACCAGCACCAGGTTGCCCATACTACTACATAGCTGGACGAAATGACAGATCCAAAGCGTCCACCTCCCGTAACTTGTAGTCGGCTGACATAGACCTGGATGATGGCTCCAGAGATGAGGACCCAAGGGACAGTCAGATTGAGGAAAGAGGGATTTGAGCTTGACACACTTGTATGAAGAGCTGAGAGAGCTGCAACCCCATTTGAAATGTAGAACAGGGCATCTGAGGCCTGGTCTGTTTGGGGCAGGGCCTCCTGTCTTTCCTGTTTATATCTGCCACACGTGTAAACTTTCTGTAGCCGCTCACTGGAGATGGGCTGTGGGCCTACAGGGATGAGAGACTTCTCTGCTATTGTGTTGATGAGACGTGAGAAGGTACCGTATAGGGAGGCTGCGGTGAACAGGGAGCAAGCTACACCAAAGAAAATGTAGTAAGCGTGGAGAGGTATCTGGGGAATTGTTGAGACTGTGAGCAGGACAAAGAGCATGTTGTGGATCAGTTCCAGGAAATCCATGTTAAGGCTTGCCACGCAGAGCACCAAGCCTGACGCCACAAAGAACCAGTTTCCCACCATTGATTCCCTCCCTGAGATCAGTGTACTGTTCTCTACAATCAGAACAGATACCACAAATTCACCCCATGCCTTGATCAGCCAATATGTAGCATGAAGACCAAACTTGGTTGTGTGGTAGCAGTCTTGACGCAGATGGGCATAGTAGCTTGAGAAGAGCTGGGCCACTGTGATGATTGAGACCCATACAGCTCCTAAGCCAAATGACTTAACATACCCAAAACTGTAGAAAGCAAAGATGAATGGGGCAACAGTGTCACAGAAGAAACCCAAGGCCATGGGTTCTGCGTATTTTGTGTTTTTCTTCTTCTCTTGACCAATGCTCTGGACACTTGCAGAGTTGGGGGTTCCTAGCAGGAGAACATTGAAAAGAGGGGTACCAAAACCTTTGAGCACTAGACGCTGGCTGAGCCCCTTGACTAGCAGTGCAGCTGCACCGTAGATGGCAAAAAAGAGAATGAGCAACTCAAAAATCCCAGAGACCACGAGAGCCCAGAAGCTCGCAACCAGAGCAACTGCTTCAAAAACTAAGGTGACTGTGATGGCCCCAAAAACAAAAGGCATGATGTAGTTGACTGTGGCAGAGCAGAAGGCTAGGATGAAGGACAGAAGGATAAAGGGGATGAGACCAGCGATTGCTGACTCTTTCATGGACTGGCTTAAATGGACGATCTCTGTGCTGGCATTCAGAGTCATGTTGCTTATCATAGTGGACTGAGACAGATTGTTCATATTTTGATATTCAATAGAGAATGTAGGAGTTTCACTTAAGGCACCAAAGTAGATTCGAGTTGCTCCATAACTGCCCCAAAGAGCAGCATAGCCAATGAAGGCAGTGCCACTCAGATGATCATATTTTCTGAAGGAAAGCAGTCCAGCCACCAACTGGCAAATACCACCAATCAGAATGAGATGGACACCTAGAAAAACCATGAAACTAGAATTAATACAAGAGCCAATAGCATATTTTATTATATTATCTTATCAGAGTTTCTATAGGTTTAACCTGCAAGTATGTTTTCCACTCCCACTGGTGCACTGCCAGTACGTGCTGTATTGAAGTTCTGCAGGAGTACGAGGAATGCACTGATCCCATTCGATAAAATCCCCATCACCCCTGGTTCGCCATAGAAACTGGCAGGAAAGCCATCTGATGTTGCCATTGTGTCTTGGATGTCAAAATGTAGTTTTACTGAAAGAATGAAGCACATGAAACAGAAAAGATGTC